CATATGGAAAGGGGAAGGAATGCTGCGGAGTCAAGTGTTTGCTTTCAATTTGGAGAGGAGACCTCTGACTTACCGCACATCGATCTCGTTGGTGTAGCCATTGCTGGGCGTGGAGTCGTCGTAGTCGGGCAGTGTGTACTGGGTCCGGCGCATCATCATCAGTTTTGGCATAAAGTGCAGGAACAGTTTCCGCACCATTGGGGACATGTTGTGCGTCGAGGGAGATCTGTGCCGGATGGCAATTAGCTGGGGACCGCTGGGGGCATTGATTGACTCACCTGAAGTGTATGTTGAGCACACACACAGTTGTCCAGACGGACAGGGAGACGAGTATCATGGTAAAGAGTAGATACTTGCCCAGCAGAGGCACTGCCAACGAGGTCGGCGGAATAATTTCGGCCAACAACAAGAAGAACACGGTCAACGACACAAGTATTGAAATACATAACGTAACCTGTCAACAAAATTTCGTACACAATGTCTTCCTTTCGATAGCTCAAACTTTCCAGAAGCCCCCCTGGCCCCTGAACCACTGAATCGAACCGATGTTCGACTCAACGGCAATACAAAAAAACAACAAACAATTAAACAAACAGTCAACCAACAACAACAAAAAGCACAGAACAGCAACGAAAATAAAAATACAAATACCACAATTTGTTTGAATTAAGTTAGGCAATTGCATATCGATTACTAATTGAACATAATTTTTTAACTCAACAACTAAAAAGTAATCAAATTTAAATATAACCAACTGTTTTCCAATAAGGAAACTATAATCAAAGTATGCGTAAGGACAGCATCGCGTATGCTGTAAGCAAGCCAAGGACCCACACCAGCTCCATGTAACCCCTGCCACGACCCTACACAATTACATCCATCAATCATTTCAAGTTTACACGAAAACAATCAACACCAAAAAAAAAAACAAATCAACAAAGCGCATTTCACTACGTTTACACGTGAACTTTCTGTATACTGGTATGGGTATGCGTTGGGTATGTGTGTGTGGCGTAGAGGTCATAGATCAAGCTAAGGGAACTCGTATTTTGCAGAGTTTATCTTTGGCTTGGGTAAAGTTTTCATGTACTCGTTGTATGGTATCCTATGAGAAATTATTCTATCAATCACAATAAACTTACAGTGTAACTATGAACAAGGAACAACAATACAATCGTTTTCATTTCATTTCTAAACGCGATCTGATTTTGATTGTGATATATTTTTGTTGCATAGCAATACAGAAGCTTCCATCATTTTGCCAGATTTTTCAAAATACAGAAATTCATAATATAATATCTCAATAGCATCAATCAACTTAATGATATCAAATTCAAAAAATACCAAGATATTGCATCAGGAATTCGTTCGATGCTTCGTGGCATAGGAGTTCCGAGTATTGGAGCTTCGCCTCTAATCGGCTTTATCTGTTGGTCAATGCCTTGATAGGCAGCTGAGTCGGTCCCCACAATACAACAATAATAAACACAGTCTTTGACGAGAGGCAGAAAAGACTTACTTTGCGGTCCAAAGAATCTAACAACAAAATACACAGTCTTCGTGAAAAAGTCGGTCACAAGAAAGCAAAAACAATGGCCTCATGCAACATCTTGCTAATTGTATGGTCTTTGATTGCAGTCACGATTGATTCGTTAAAGTATAAGATTTATATGCGGGTTCCAGAAATAATTCGCTTTTCATGAAATACTATAATAAGCCGTGGGATCCCTTTCTTTGTTGTTAAGAATTTAACACATCTTATCCAGAGTCCTTAAATGCTGAAGAAACTAACTGACAGCTCTGGCTGGTGATATTCTTACGAGTAGTATGATTGAGTTGGTATCTGGTACATGTACGAGTATAACTATCAATGGCGGAGCAGTTACTGGTACTGGTACTGATACTGGAGCAAGCGAGCGATACGAATGAACGAGCAAACACTAAGGCAACGACAACAAGAATACGAGAATAACAACCAACTGCACGAGTCCTTTACGTGTTTGTTACGTGTTGCTTTGTGAGTAACTGTGAGTACGTGTGCTGTATGCAGGTGTGTCCTACATGTGTGTGAGTGGGTGAGTGAGTGTGTGTGTGTGTGTGCGTGCGCGCACTGCTTTATTCCAGATACGCGATATATATGGGAAAATTTTGAGAGTGGCTTTTTGACATTCTGAATCCGATTCAATTCGATTCGTTTCGTTTCGATATGAATATCGATGGAGCATTGGTATCAAATCGATGAAAATTTACGTTATGAGATTTCACTACTCAGGAGACAGCACAAATGATATTCAACGCAAAATAGAAGGCATATATGCGATATATGGGGCGTCGATTATATGTGTGCTGCTTGGATGAATGCAGAGGGCGACGCTGCTGCGGTTTCAGATTTAATAAGTTAATGGATACCATTAGGGACTATCTAATAGAATTAAGGAACATCTAATAGTTAAGAAGTTGAGTATAAAATAGAAAAAGTCATAGTTTAGAAAGAGCAGGAAGTGCAAGTTGAGCTCTTCTCGGATACGATTTGTTATATGTTCTTTTTAGAATTCGTTTTCGAGTTTCGTTGAAAGCCAATTTACAGTTTTTGTGTTTTGAGAGCTCAGCTTTGGGGATAGCAGACTAGAAGGATTATAGTGAGAGTTAAAGCTATTGAAAGTAGACCGATATGTGCATATGAGGTAGATAGTAGCTTATCTAAAGTATGGTTGAGGTTTCGTTTCTCAGAGGAGATAAGTAGTATTTTTTGCTGATGTAAATAATTGTATGAAATACTTAAGTGCTTTGAAATCAGTGTAAAATAGTGATTTGTTTTGATAGATCTCACAAAGTAGTTACAAAAACTCAAAATATAAAGAACTATTCTACTTTAAGTGCAAAAATTTCAAACTAACATTTTTACATTAGATAAATATCTGAAGTCATGCCACATTCTGAGAACAATATATAAAATTCAGACTCAGCTGAGACTGAGTATAGATTTCCACATCGACGTATCCTTCTCCGTTACCTTCTCGCCAGAATCGCTTGGCAAATAGAACACCAACACCGTGAGGAATGTCAGGGCCACGCAGGGCACAATCAGATTGACAGTATAGAATAATGTCTTACGACGCATAGTCAACTTGAAGGTTATATCTATATCATCAAAGAAGTACAACATTGGAATGAATATTTACTTCAAATAAATCAGAACTCACCTGAAAAGGGCTCTAGTGTGTCGGGATAGTACTCCTCATTTTTGGTAGCTGGCACTTCGAGTATATCCCACTCCACGGACAAATAGAACTCGGTTAGATCGATGCCCACTTGTACAAGATTACTGCCAGGTATCTGATACAAATTTGAAATAATAATTAAAGATTTTCTGCACTCAAGAGAGTAGTGCTCACCTGATCTAGGTGCTTCAAGTCCACTTGGGCCCCATTGTAGGTCCATGAACCGAATTTCATGAAGCAAATTTGTTCATCGTATGGAAAATATTCCACATTCATTTCACAGGAAGACTTGTAAATAGCAGGCGGCTCCCAGAACACTTCACCCGTGTACTTCAGCGTGGCCTTGGTCATCAGGGTGACCTGAACGTTAGTGAAAAATAAGAGTTGTTAATAAAATATATCCGTTATTTTTTACACTCACCTCATAGTTGCCATCCCAGTTATTGTAGAGCACAATGTCGGGCACCCAAATGTGTTCCGAGGGCACATAAAGCTGCTCTACGCCTCCATACTCCTCTGGATCCCAACGTAACTTGTAATCGAACCATCGCTATCCGAAACTAAACATTAGAAACTGTATGTTTTAAGACCATTTGTAATACTAACCTGTTTCACCCATAGGTTGGTGGTCATCACCTGGTTCTTGAGGTTCACCTCAATCAGCTGAGACAACTTCAGACCCAGCCAAACCGTCAGGGTCTCCGTGTTGTTCACTACGGGACGTATCAAACGATTGTAGTTGCTCAGCAAGTCATCGTATAGCCGCTTGGTGTCCGGATTGGCCTCAAAACTCACTGGAGCTGTGAGAGCAGGGCAGAAGAAAGGTGAAGGGTAAGGACTGAATTTCCCAAAACAAAGCCTCAATCTTTTCCCAAACTTTTCCAAATTTCCCAACACAAACTTGTGCGCAGACGCTGCTCTCACTCTCTTTGGGTCCATTTTTGGCTCTCAGTGGGTGCAGCCTCTTTTGACAGCTGTCTGGTACTCCGGGATACAGGAGTATGGTATTGGAATTTTCACAGATTTTTCCTAGACCCGGACACATCTTTTCATGGCTTACCCGTTGAGCTTGCCAATGGCACCAATAGGCAAATGCACAGCAAACTCCAGTGCCACATTATCCGCTGTATTTTTATCCACTTAAGCGTCGAATATGTGCCACAAATTTGAATATATCTATTCAATTTGTAGCATCTTGTTAGCAGTTCTTTGCACAACCTCACGCTCTGAGAGTTTAAACGCAACTAAGGTTGGGATTTTGGCAGATACTCGGTGGAGAGGATGCTTTACAACTGTCAAATGATGCTCAGCGATTGCTGTACCAATAATTGTACACTTCGCGCTTGGCGCCAATTTCCTACAACAATTACAATCAATTATAGCCCTGTTCCATGCAGGGTTGCCCGGACAATTCATAATTCATTTTTGTATTAGCTGTTCATTTATATGAAATATGTACTCATAAATATTTTGTAATGCAGTTCTATGCTGAAGCGATCCACCCTTGCTGTAAGGGCTTAATTTGACATGACAAAACGGCTGTATGGCAGAAAAAATATATAATCGACAACTCGATATTCCTTAAATTAATCTGAATTTTATCAACATCATTTTAAGGACTCAGGCTGTAAGTTTCGCCGGTATTTGCGGCCAAGAAATAATATCAACAAAGTCAAGGTATGTTTTAAGATTACCTGAGAACTCAGCCCCGAAATATGCATCTGCCTCGTACAGTCATACTGTAGCCAAGTTCACAACCACCGGCCAGACCGAACCCAAGCTGTCACTGCCAACGGGTCGTCAAGGCGACGGCGTTACTTTGACAACGAAAATTAAGGGAAGAAATTAGAGCAGTAAGAGTCGAATTCTCACAAAGAACAGAAGCAAAACAACGAAAGTAAACCAAACTTTCTTGAAATCGAAAGTTTCTATGAGTCAAAGGAATGGGTTACAAGAGCAACTATCCGCAGATGGTGAGGGAGGCGGGCTTCAAGCTGCGCCAGTACCGCGATGGACCCTTGGACTGGCGTTTAATGGGTAATTAAAAATGGGAATGGAAATGGGAAAACAAGGCTGATTATCTTTTCCGTATAGGTTCCTATGAGACTGACCGAATACTGAGGGAGCAAAACTTCGAGCTTGTTGACAAGGCCCTGCAGCACTTGTCGGAGGCACCACTGGGCACTGTTCTGGAGACACACATCCTCGACAGCGGCATAGCCAAGTACTTTGTGATGTCGCAGTACGCCATCCAGTATCTCGTCTGCTGTCGGACCTACCTGGATGAGTGCGTGACGGATTTGCGCGAGGCGCATGAGATATCCCAGCAGGAGATAGCCAATCTCCGCAAATCTCTGACGGAGTCCAACAACGAGGTGGTGCAGCTGAACAAGAGGATCACCCAGATAGAGACAATACGCGAGGTGGTCTACCCCTGTCACCTGTGCACCAAGAACTTTATCAGCAACGAGGCCCTCAACATACACATAGGGCGCAAGCATCGCGTGGGCACACCCCCCAGCCTCGGGGCAGCACAAAGCAACGCCAAGGACAAGGACAACGACATGAACCTGATCAACACCATCAAAATGGAGCTGGAGATTAAGCAGCTAAAGGAGCGACTGAATACCGCCGAGCGCAACATCAAAGAGCGCAGCAGTGGTTCCAAGCGGCCGAGCCCTCGCCAAGATCAGCGCAATGTGGGTATACAAAGCAATCTGACCGAGGACAAAGAGAAGGACGACCTAAACAGCGAGACCCAGGAGGGTGAGGCCAGCGAGCGCAAGGAGCAGCTGCACGGTCTGGCGGAGCGATTGAGCAACTTCGAGGTTTTGCAAACACAACTCAAGCAAAGCAACGAACAGTTCATCATGGTATTATCTGACATGAGTACTATATCTATTTTATGACAGTTAACTCGATTTTACTCTTCTCTAGGATATAAATCAGAAGCTGGAAGGGCTCAGCCATGCCCTCGAGCAGACCAAAAAGACCACCGGCAACACAGAGCCTACCCCCTTGGATGGCCGCATGCCCACGCCCACACCTTGCCTGGAAGATTTGGAACGCATTCTCACCGAAAAGGTGACGGAGATTGGCAAGATCAGTGCCAGCAAGCTGGAGGAAGTGGTTAACCACCTGGAGGTGGGCTACAATGATAAGCTGGAGGCTCTAGAACAAGAACTCAAGCAGCTAAGGGTGCGCAAGGAGGCCCCTAAACCTCAGACGGTGGCGATTTTCCATGGTTCAGGCACTTCCAAGATACCGAAGCCTGTGAGCCGCAAGGAAGAAACGAATGTGGAGCGCATCCGGAAGCAAGTGGAGAGCGAGTTCCTCAAGAGCAAGGCAGACGACGACACTTACTCCATTGAGGGGCCGCGGGAAAAGTCTTTGGCTCCGCCTCCTCCTCCTCCAGTGGAAGTCCAAGTGGAAATCAACGTACAACCAAGTGGCGGCAGCTCCAGCAGCCATCCAACGTACACGAAACCAGACGCCATTGAGCCGGCTCTTAGCAAGCCTGAGGCGAGAGAAACCACAGACATAGATGAGAGCCTCAGCCATGAGGATGCAGGAATAGTGCATGACGATACAGAGCAGACCCTTTCGGATGACGGCAGTGAAACGTTGACTTCTGAGGCAGACCTACCGCGGACAGTCGAAAAGGCAGCATCCAGCAGGCCTACAGCCCTCTCTCTCAGGAGTCCACAGAAGCCGCTGACCCGCAAGGATGCCCGCAAGCTGGTCATTCGGAAGATGTCCTCCCATGGCTACGACGTGAAGTCCAAGACTATATCCCACACGACCATGAAGCGAATCAACGGGGAACTAACGGAGCAGCGCAACAAGCTAAAATTGGTACGATCGATGAAATCGCTTAAAGTACTTACAGTAAATGCATGTAATTGTTAATCCTTTCCAGCAATATCCGCAGTTCTATGCCACTCGCAATCGCATACGCAAGTTCGTAGAAAAGCTCTGCTCCACAAAGCTACCGCAACGGGCCGAGAATCTGCTGAAGCACAGGACGCCGCTGCAGCCCGTTGAAGCACCCAAACGCGGAAGCCTTCGTTCAGCCCCAATGCAGGAGCCTGATACGGCGGCCCATAGCTCCCAAGAGGAGGAAGACAGGTCGGGGAGCAGCGAACAGTCCGAGTCGCGTGGTTCCAGTCCGCAGCGGCAGGTCGATGAAAATTTCAAAGCCCGTTTGGAGCAGATTCTTGTGAAGCCCGCAGCGATTGCTGCTCCACGTGAAGCTTCCAAGTCTTCTTTGAGTACCAGGCCAGTGCCTCTGCCGCGAAAACGAGTCATGTTCAATACGATGGTTGGTGGCAAAGGCATTAACGATAGCGAAGATGATTTAAAGTAAGCTACAATTAAAATTAAAATAAAAAAATTGTAACGACGTAGTCGCTGGCCTAATTTTCAGGAATACCCACAATTACGCGATGGTCTGCTCCAGGGTGACCGCTTGCGGTATTTTTAATACCGGTATATAATGGTATATTTTGTCACTTTGTTCTATTAAATTTAATTTTCAATGGTATGTTTAAGAAGAAAAGGTATGGAATCTTCCATACGCAGGTTTCTTTAATTTTCGCTCACAAATCGCACTTACGTGTATCATTTATTCCAATAGATTGCATTTAAATCCTTTTCGCTCATTCACTTTCAATCAATTTATATTTGGCGCGTACCACTCGTATCCAGTCGATAACGTAGCTTGAATCGGGTAAGGCTCTTTTTGAACCGGTTGGAAGCAATCCCATTCCGTACTTTTACATTATGTACTTAAATTACTCTACTTGGATCGACATATGGTGATGATTGAAACTGCATTGCGAATTCCATGCGCAGTGTGCAATAAACTAATTAAATGCATGAATAGGTCTAAAACATATAAATTTGAGAAAAGGTCTTTATAAATTACGTTTTATCTTCATATTAAATTAACGAAATAGGGCATACAAAGGCATATACACGCATCAAGTCTTCAAATACCAGCAACATTGCGACAGTTTTTTTGTTGAACCACTTTGTTTAAAACTTTTTTTAGTCAAAATACAATAAAAGCAAGGACTAAAAACAAACCAATCTTGAAGAAAATTTATTCATCAACGGCCTAAAATTTTGTGGGCAGAGCTAAAGGTTTTGGTTAGCCAAAATTATTCAACGGAATATCAAAAACGAGGAATATGTATAAGGAACTTGAATTCGTCAGTATATTCACGGTATATTTATAAGGGTCGGCGGTATATTTTAACGATAAATACGCGGTCGCACTAACAACGTAGGAAAAAATTTGGTCGCGAATTAATGTGAATTAAATGGAATAAAAAGGCTGCGGAGCAAGAGGAAAACCAGTAAATACGGAAAAACGTACATGGGCTCGACACCAGACGCCAGACGCATTTCTGAAAAGTACCTTAATCCTCTGCGAATTCCATCCCAACACACGCGCACACACCCATACAGGCACACGCACCTTCGTACGTCGTCGTCCCCCATCGCCCCCCATTCGTCCATCGTCGACCATCAGCCATCGATGAAATAACATACATAACGTATACCGAAAATACATAAGGCAAAACGGGGCATATCGGGCAACGGAGTGAGAGTGTTACACGCACAGCAGAAAGCAGATATAGCAGCCAGAAACAGCAGCAGGTGAACTGATAAGCGGACACAAAGCAAAGCCAAATCATGTCAGATATCATGAATATCGACAGCATTATCTCGCGTCTGCTGGAGGGTAAGTGGTGTGCTGAAGTCCTCGCTACTTAGTCGTGCTGGATGATGATTTACATATATCCCTTCCTTCGTTCTCCCTCACTATAGTGCGTGGAGCACGTCCGGGTAAAAATGTACAGCTGTCGGAGAGCGAGATCCGCAGTTTGTGCTTGAAGTCGCGCGAGATATTCCTGTCACAGCCCATTCTGCTGGAGCTGGAGGCACCGCTGAAGATCTGCGGCGATATACACGGACAGTACTACGATCTTTTGCGTCTGTTCGAGTACGGTGGCTTCCCGCCGGAGTCCAACTATCTGTTTCTGGGTGACTATGTGGACCGTGGAAAGCAATCCCTGGAGACGATATGCCTCCTATTGGCATATAAGATAAAATATTCGGAGAACTTTTTCTTGCTGCGCGGCAATCACGAGTGTGCCAGCATCAACCGCATCTACGGGTGAGCCCCAGACCGAAAAGCGCAATAGCATTTGCATTATCGAAGGCATAACTCAATCTAATTGATGACAGGTTTTACGACGAGTGCAAGCGGCGTTACACCATCAAGCTGTGGAAAACTTTCACAGACTGCTTCAACTGCCTGCCCGTGGCGGCCATTGTCGATGAGAAGATCTTCTGCTGTCACGGCGGCCTCAGTCCGGACCTGTCCTCGATGGAGCAAATCCGCCGCATTATGCGGCCCACAGATGTGCCCGATCAGGGCCTATTGTGCGATCTGTTGTGGTCCGACCCAGACAAGGATACCATGGGCTGGGGCGAAAATGATCGCGGTGTGAGCTTCACATTTGGAGCGGAGGTAAGTTTTGAATCGTCTATGAGTATCAACCATGAGATGCGATGCTAACGAATGTCCCTTTTCCCTTAGGTCGTGGGTAAATTTCTACAGAAGCACGAGTTCGACCTGATCTGTCGTGCCCATCAGGTGGTGGAGGATGGCTACGAGTTCTTTGCCAAGCGCCAGCTGGTCACGCTCTTCTCGGCGCCCAACTATTGCGGGGAATTCGACAATGCGGGTGAGTTGATTGACAACTGACGCGAGTGTGCACGCTGGACTTCAGTCCGGAGATAATCTTATCTGAATTATTGTCTTGTTTGTCTTGGGGAGAGTAAACGGGGAGGAAACGCGTCCCACAAGGTTATCGCTGATCCCAGAGATACGCACAGCTGGCGCAGCGTCGCCAAGTGAAAGCTGAATACTGAAATCTGAACACCCGCCACGATTTTCATGCGCCAACTGCGCATTTGATTCCATGCCTTTAAAAGGAATTGATCATATTTCTGTGCGTCTGTTATTACAGGTGCAATGATGTCCGTTGACGACACTCTGATGTGCTCCTTCCAGATATTGAAACCCGCCGATAAGCGACGCTTTGTGTATCCCAATTTCGGTAGTTCGGGCCGTCCCCTGACACCGCCCCGCGGTGCCAACAATAAAAACAAGAAAAAATAAGCAGCCACGCACAGCACGAGCACACTGCACAACAGAGACGGCCACACAGCCCCCACTGCAGTGGGGGAAACGGAAGGGCAGAACGAGTCCAGAACCTGGAAGCGCAAAGAGTTTGTTTTTATCGAATATATAGATGTGTAATCGAATCGAATCGTGAGCAACGTTATATGGGGTATATGAATCTATACAAATTAGCCTATTTTTCATTTGAAAAACAAAAAAAAAACGAATCGAAACTAAATTTAAACCACAAATCGAGAGACACTTTAGTTCAAACTAATGGTAGTGTAAGACACTGCATAAGCAAGGAAGGAGGAATGAATATTTGTATCTCCTATAATGTATTAATTGTGTTATAGTTTTTTCGCAAAAGCAAAAGCAAAACCCACACACAAACACACACATATGCATAGCACACGGTACACACAGTACAGTAGGTACACAGAGTGCACGCACCAGTTGTATTTTATTTCGCATTTCATATCTCGCAAAGAATTTTCCTTTTAGGCTTTTTTCTACTATCCTTCACTATTGTGTTTTTTTTTATTACTTGTTTTTATCTAGCAAAAAATGTATGGGAATATGCTTTTAAAATGTGTGTGCGAGGGCTAATTACATATTACATATGTACTCGAAAGCACGAATCTATCTATTTTTGTAATATTGTCTTAGCAAAACTCTACAGCAAATACTACATGTTTACTTAGTTTTAAAAAAGCGAGGAAGCAATTTTTTTAGTTGCAATTCTAAATAAGTTTCAATTGTTTACACCAAAAATATTAAAATAAACAAGACATTGTGTATATTTTTTTAAAAACTATTTGCGTTAACCAACACACTCCCACACAGAAAAACACACACACACACCCTAAATCAATTGATGAATTTTACATGTTATCCCAAGCCCACATTCAAAATTTCAAGAGAAAAAAATCCAAAACAGCAAAAAAATATATATATCAAAAAGGCTTCTTGAAGCACTGTTAGTTAAGGCGCATACTTTTGAGCGGCACTGTGTGCCCTCTGCTGATGTCAGCGACGTGGCAGATAATGTTACTCTCTATCCCCCCCTCTAACCCTCTGTCCCTGTAACTCCTATCGACTGCGATGGGAAAACAAGCAAATTTAATGCATACAAAAAATTCACAAAAATAATATAAAAAGTATTTTTAAGCCGCAGCGCAGCAGGCACACACACACACAGAACACTTTGTCATATAAGTATTTGTATACTTTTGTGCATTTGTATTACGATTACAGTCGGAACATTCTAGTGCTGAAAATCCGGCACCCAACCACACATTCAAGTATTAAGCCCAGGCGATGTAGGCGAACATGACGCAGATTACCTCCCAGCCCCCAAAATGGTTTCGTTTGTAAAATCCCCCGCCCCGAAAACCAATCAGCAACAATCGCGTTACCCGAAGCGAATCCTTGTCTAAATCACACTCTTGTACTCGTACTCTGTTCAATGTTGTAACTGAATTCCACGTATATTTACACTCATACATACATATATGTATGTACTCGTAATATCAAGATCAAGAAGTATGACATCGGCTGTTTTCGCAAAAAGACAAGACATAAGAAATCTATAACGTAATATCGTAAATTTATTTCAAAAGGGAAATTGGAAAAGACAAAACGAATGAGTATGAAAAAACATAAAATGCATTAAAAAAACCAAAAAAAAATTAAAAGAAAAAAAACGAAAAAAAAAAGAACTCAATGACGAAGCACTTGTAACAAAATAGCACTGTTTTATTAAAAAGAAAAATGAAATACATACTAGCAATAAAAAAAAAGCAAACAAGATATTGTGGTTTTAATTGGATCCAAAGATTAGCGGAAAAATAATTGTTTATTTAAAACCTACGAGTTTCTTTATTACTTTTTTATTTTTATAGAAAGTGCAATCCATACTGAACCTATTGATAGATTATTTTTGTGTCGAAAATTTCGAACTAAAAGGGAGTACTTTCTTGAGCCTGGTTTTCCAAGTGCTAAGCTATTCTTTATAGATTTTTAGACTTGATAACTATGACGAACGGAGGACCATACTTTTGAGTGAAGAAAATGCCCAAAAGCTTCGTATATATGTATGTTACCTATACGAAACATAAGTTATATATATAACTTTTGCGGGAAATGGTTGTTCAGTTCCAGACATATTTCCGCCCAATTTTTCTACTTTTTAATTTAATTCCAAAATGAACTTATAAAGTTTTCTTGCTAAAAGTGAGCATTTCTTTTTCTTAAGAGTGGTTTTCCAAAATTAAATCTTTTCCGTATAGATAGGTTTTATGTTTAAGGACAATAATTTAAGTCAACCTTTGAGAAGTATGGAATTTTAAAAATATAATTAAAGTTTGCTTTATGTTATTCGTTATAATATTTCTTAAACTTTCTAAGAAAAGACTTGATTTTAGGGTACTAGTCACAAAAACTATTTCAATCTTAATTGATTTTTAATACCAAACATTATATACTAATTTACATATTATTTATTATATTATATATATATTAATTATATCTCAGGGCGCAGCTCCGCCCCAGAGGTGCACACGTGGCCCCCGATCCCCTGCCCTGCTTTTCGTCCGCCTGCAGCCGCAACTGCAGCATCTTTTGGCGCAGGGCGTAGGGTGTGGCTGTTGTGGTGTTCAAGTGCTGCTGCCTATTGGCCTCGTTGGCACGGTTCTTGTGCCACTTGTCCGCGTTGGTGTTGGTCCGCTGGAGTTTGTCGTAGGCCTGCTGCAGTCGCAGCTCATCCTGACGTACATCGCTGAAGCATTGTTGGGCGTTCATCAATCGAAACTTTTGGAGTGCCTGCAGCTGCTGCAGCTCGTCGTTGTCGCTGGAGAGCTGTGCTGGGGGCTGAGGTGAAGGCGATGACGCTGCCGAGTTGCCACTTTGAACCTGACCCTGACCTTGGCTACGGCTTGGCTGGCGACTGGCGACGCATGCGCTCTGCTCATAGAAACGTCGATTGTCCGTGTACTGAGGGGAGCTGCTGGTGCTGCTGCTGGTGTTGCTGTCGACACCTCCTGTTCGCTCCCAACCCCACCGCAGAACCTTGGCCCGACTCTGCTGGCGTTGCTGGGAGGAGCTGCAGCTGCAGCTGGAGCAATGACTCATCAAAGTCGCCGTGGAGTTGCGGCGACTGAAGTCGTTGCTCAGCCCGGTGCTGGAGTGGCCCAGGCCCAGTCCTGGCGCACTCGACCTGATGCTCGGCCTCCTCACAAACTGCGTGGGTCTTGTACTCTGTCTGGATGAAGACGTCACCGACATGAGATCGCCACGTGGACGCTGGTGTTGTGTCTGCTGTTGGGGAGGCTGCGGCTGCACTATTGATAATCTCATCGCACTGCCAGCTCCAAAGTTCCCGCGGCAGTAGCAGCGATGCATTAGGCTTGGGTTCGGGTTGGGTTTTGTAATACCTCTCTGATGGTAAATGGTGTGTGGCTCTGCTCCACTCTCCACTCGGATTGCGTGCTCACAGAATGTTAAGAGACGACTGCCGCCGTGGCCAACCGGTTTCCACACATGTGCCTGATGGGTGCCCAAAAAACTCGGCACTTTATCACCAATCATCAGGCCACATACATACTTACCGTTAGCCGGCTAACACACACAGACACTCACGCATCATTTGTTTATATTTGAACAACAATTGCGACTGTTTCCATAGACACATGCCCCGAGGTTCTTGGGCCGTTTGTTATTTTTTTTTGGCCAAAACGCACTTGGTACTAGACACAAAAGAAATTTCTGGCCAAACCAAAGACTTAAGCAACAAACTTGATTTTTCTATCTAATAGCCCTTTGGGGATCTTCTAAATCTGTCAGTGCTATAAACATTTTGGGAAACCAAAAAGCGTTGCAGGACATCCTCAAGTTTAAGAATTTGCATAATGCTATTATTATTATAATAAAGCGTTCTTGATCTTCGGCCATAGATTGATCTTTTGTGCTTAGGCTTTTGATAATGTTAACAGAGATTAATCTATCCATAGCACCGAAATTTCGTCTCAGATGCTTACAGATTAAAAACTGATTAAAGTTAAAGATTAGATCGATACAACACATAGATTAATACACTAATGTTAATATCTCATGAAAATATGAGCGAGAGCTCTCAATTTTAATACAATTTCCTCATAATATGCACGAGTTTAGGTACCAATAAAATTAAATTAAATAAAATTGTATAGGGGAATGTTGTTCTCAATATTCCAATCCTATAACTTACCCAATCCGCACTTAATAACTAGATGTTCCTCATATGCAGGAGTTTTCAGGTGACAATGACATATTTTAGTTACAAATATGTAGCATAAATATGAACTTCGAACCTTTGTAAGTGTTTTATTTTAATATTGGTCTCGTTATTCCCACCCCTATATTATTGGACTTCTTCCATCTATTTCAACATCAACAAACAGTAAAAGGGGACATTTATGTAAACGTAGATCAAGAATTCCAATTTGCATTTCCCAATTCCCTCAAACCAATATTCCACCACAAGTAATCAACATTTCTGCTAGTGATTTATGCACTCACATATATTGCCCCAATAAAAACCCGTACGAGTACGAGTAGCTGTGAACGAATGCTATGAGTGGTAGAACATACACTAAAAGCAATCAGGTGACTGAATTAAGGCAACCGATTCAACTTCCTGCAAGACAATGAACCAGAAACCGCTGGCTGGATCCCAAAACAAAAACGCCCCACTTATTGAATAAGACAACAAGCGAGTCGCAGTTATCATGGATCCCGAGCTTACTACCGTCTCGGACATGGCTAAAAAACCCTCAATTAGGGTTTACAACCGTTGCCCCATTAAAGGCATGTAAAGTTCAATGAACCAAATCGAAAATGAAAATGAAAGGGCAATACAGGGTTGTTTGGGTTCACTGCTGACTCGTTCCCATTGGATCTGCTTATGCATTGGCCCGGGGGCTAGGACTGGAAGTGGAACTGGGACTTGAGCTAGTGCTGGAGATGGCGGTGCCTATGGCCAGTGGTTACATTGCCAAATGCGACCAGGCGGAAAGCAAAAGTTGTCCGCATGCGCTTTTTGGGGTGGTCGCACGATTCTCTCTTTCACACACATGCTTTTTGGGCCAAAGCTCTATCGACTGGAGGAGCTTCATCGATTTTGCTGGAAGCTTTTTCAATTTGGTGGCCTCTGCTCTGCTCGTCGCGTCTGCGCTGTCGTCGCCGTCGCTGCCGCTGCCGGCTCAAGCTTGGTATAAAAACTCGAGCGCTCGACGCATCCCGAGTACACACCACAGTGATAAGTCGCGGCGAGAACCACCAGCTGGAAACGGATTGGGAATAGGACTTGGCATCGGAATCGGAATTGGAATCGGAAGGGTCTCGAGTCGGAGTAGTGCGTGTGCGTGTGTGTGGAGTTTTGTGTGTGCGCGTGTGTGTGTGGCTGTGAATCAAAAAGTTACACTTAAGAAATAGATCTCCCTCTCTCCACTCGTACATCCGATTTCGTATACAAAAAACATGTTCCGAGTGTCGGCAACAGCTTCATTACTGCTGCTAATCGTTGCGGTTGCGCAGGAATTAATTGTAACGGCTACGCAAGATTTGCGTAAGTATCAACCCCCAACCTTTTCCCATTCCCCCACTACCATCGGAGCATCGGCAGCGAGAGTCAAAAGTGCAAACTAATATTGTTTCCACCTTTGATTATTTGCTGTTTATTTTACTGTTTTTACCATTTGCTCTTTGCTATTTGCTATTTGCGCACTTTGTCCAACGCCCCGAGAGGCATATGTTTATGGTTAAAACGTGATAGATATTGTTTATTAGCTAGTTAATTTCGTTTTGGGCGCTTGGCCCGCGACACTTGGAGGTCACCCTCCGTATAATGTTCTCTAATGACAGGCCTGACATGAAAAGGGAGGGGGCATGCAAATCGAGACAGGTGTGTGTGTGTGTGGTGCAGACTATTGTGCAGGTTATGCAATTGTGGCGGTGGCTGTTTCAATTTACAAACAGGTTGACAGCGACGCGACGGGTTTCGGGCAGACAGTCCACTGATCCACATCCAGTCCAGTCCAGTCCAGTCCTACACTTCCGCTTCGGCGCGTAAAGTGACAGAAAAAATGTGTCACCTTAAGAGTAGGCAAGAGAAGGACACACACACAGATGTAATCGATCCGATCCGATATCGATGGAGTGTAAATTAATTTCAGCATTCCATTGATGATTAATGGAAACTGTTGCCATAGGTCATGCGTCTGCTTTTGTCTGCCTCTCAATTTACAATCAAAAAATTTATTCATGATAAATTGCCGATCGCCGTGCGCTTCAACTTGACATTGAGCCACTAAAATATGCTAGCTCAGCTTCTTTAGAGAGACATTTGTGTTTTCTGTTTCTGTTTTCTATTTTGTTTACGCTCGGGCTCAAACTAGTTTTTGTGGCCAACGAACTCTGGCCAAGTGGACGGGCGCTACAGCTGTAGCTGGCCCAATTGCAGGCGGCAGGCAGGCTCTGGGACTTCCGCAAACCACAAGATTCCAATTTCAATGTCATGACCAACTGATTTGGGTATCTTTTTTGGTTTCTGTTTTGTTTCCACACAGCCGAAGGCTTCCCCAAATGTAAGCGAGATGCAAACTTCGACAAGTGTCTGGTGGATGCTGTCAATAAGGCCATAGTGTTGCTGAAAGATGGTTCGTATAGATGCTCACACAATGGGATGACGTGCTAAAAGGTATATAACAATATTTAAACCGTTGGCAGGCAATAAAGAATTCGGCATACCGCCCCTGGAGCCGCTGTCCGTGAAGAAACTTGTTATAGATGCCGGCAATGCGCCAATAAATCTACGTCAGGCCTTGAAGAACTTGAAGGTGCACGACATGATCTCCACCAGCAAGATCCTGCGCTATAGGTAAAATCCAGGTAGATCCATGTGGATAGAACTCCTAATGGAATTGACTCTCTTGCAGAACCGATCTGGACAAGCATTTGATTATCTGTGAAAGCCGAACGGATCGCATCGAGATGATCGGCGAATACGAGATGTCTGGTCGCATCCTGCTCCTACCCATCACCGGCCATGGAAAGGCGAATGTAACACTAGTCAACACCAAAATCGAGCACCGTCTGATAGGCGAGCCCTTCGAAAAGGATGGCGTCAAGTACATGCGCCTCAAGGATTATCGCGTTAGCTTTGATCCGAAGCGTGTATACGTGAACTTTGAGAATCTCTTCAACGACAAGACCCTCTCCGATGGCATGAATAGCTTTCTGAACGAGAACTGGGAGACAGTTTTCAACGAGCTAAAACCGGGCTATGCCAAGAGCTTTGGCCTGATATTCCGCGAGTTGTCAAACAAACTGTTTGAGAAGGTACCCTTCGATAATATATTCTTAAGTTAATGGTGATTTTTGAGCATCTAATTTATGTTACTATTTAGTCAATAAAGGATTTTATAACATTTAATATAATACTATATCTTTGAGGGTGGATTTTGAATTCAAATATAACGATATGTAATCGTTATCGGCTTATCGGTAATTTTCAAGAGTTCCCATAATGATGTACATTTCGGTAGGGAACAGAATTTCGTTGAATTTTTCCTTAAACCTTATTTTATAAGCAATCCAATAAATGGAACTCTTTAATGTTGACCAATCTTGTTGAAAATTGATTCATCTATCTGATTAAAGTATGTGTTCATGGCTGAGGTTTTTAGCTAGCTAGTAATATTAAACCGAATATCAAATTCAACGAAAATTTGTTCCGTTCATGGTCAGAAAGCATTAACCCATTACCGACCAGAGGGTATTGAAATACTCCACAAACAGTATGAATCTTAAAGAATTTTAGCGCAGTTAAAGTGAACGATTTTTGGTTTTTTGTAAGTAATGAGGAAGGATACATTGTATATACAAGAAGAAGTATTATTATCAAGTTTTTCACTTGTTTAAATAAAGGCGGGTTAAATTCCTTTTTTCATCGGTATATTTTGAAAAAGAGACGGTATATGGTTACACAGCAAGTTTTATCGAAAAGTCTGTTTATTGGTGTTGGTGTTGTTTATTGTTGTTTTTTTTTTTGTTTAAAACAATCCGTCGGCATATTTGCAAGAAAAGCATTTTCGCCTACGAACGACTATCACTGGCTGCCTGCATGGCGGAGAAAGCTATGACCATGGATGGCACAGTGTCGGCAGACAAGTATCAGAAACTAGCCAGCGAATACTCAAAGGTAAGAATCGGCCCGCAGCAGCAACAGTTTACGCCCATTAACGGCTGGCGTTAATCTAATTTAATCCACACATCCGCACGCACAGCTGCGTGCCCAGGCCACTGTGCTGAAAAAGGCGGTGCTGGAAGAGCAGGCCAAGGAGGGTGGCCTCAGGGAGCAGCTGCAGCAGTATGCCACATCCCTGCGCCGCACCGAACAGGAGGTAGACTCGTTGGGCTTCCGGAACAAGCAGCTGGAGTCTCGGGTATCGCAACTGCAACAAGAAATCTCAGTGCACGAGCAGCAGAGGAAGAAAAAGGACAAGGAGCCCGCTTCAAGGCGGGGACTGCTAGGTGGCACCAAACTGGATGTTGGCGACGCCGCCTCTGCCGAGACATCGCACGAAGCTAATGCCGCCCAAGAGACCCTCCTATTCGAAGAGCTGCAAAAGAAAATCATGGAAAATGCCCAGCTGACGTCATTGGTAAGTGATACGGGGAAAACAAAAGGCTCCTCCTCTAACTTACCGACAAACATCCACCCACCCACAGATTGACGACAAGCAGCGTGACTTGTTGCTGCACACGGAGCGTATAGCGACGCTCTCACAGAAACTGGATAAGCGCATTGGTGACCAAAACGAGCTTGAGAAACGTTTGCGAAAAGAAATCGAAACATTGCAGCACAGAAACAGCGAACTGGAGACCAAACTGGTGGATGCGGCCAGCATGGTAGGTGTTGTACCTCATTCTTCAAGCCTTTACCTCATCCTTCACTTGACAGCTTGGCAGCGAGGACGCTTTGAGTGCCACCGGCAGTGACAACACTCCATTGCACAACATCCAGCAAAATAACTCCAACCATGTCGTGCAGCTCACAGCCGAGGATCGCATTGCAATGCTGGAAAAGGAAGCGGCACACTGGCGCGCCCAATACGAGGTGGCCAAGCTGCACCAGAATTTTAATTCGAATCCAATCAAGGATCTCAGCATTTGCAGCTGCAGCACGGCCGCGGCGGGCATTACCGTCAAGCCAAGCGAACTGGAGGCCAGAGGCAGTCAACGAGCGCGTGACTCCATGCAGGAGCCGCCGGAACCGCCCTCGAAAGAGCAGTTGATTTATAGCGTGTTCAGCAAAAAGTTCGAAGATCTGCTGCGGCTAAAGGTACATGCCGAATCGAGACTGCGATCCTTCGAACTGGAGGTGCAGCATTTACAAAACTGCCTGGAGAACGCCACCCATGAGCTGAAGGCCAAGGATGAGCAGCTGGCCAGCCTGGGTGGCGCCCTGCAAATGATGGAAGAAGAACTGGTAGGTTGCCCCCCCAAGCCTTTATTTATTCCCAAGCCTAACAATCGGGATCTCTCCTTGCAGACCACAACGCGCATTAACTATGAGGAGCAGATTAGCGTTCTCACGGAACAAGTGATTAGTCTCAGCGACCAGTTGGCTGCCTGCAAATGAATCGAGGGGGCTCGAGCTCCTGGCGTGCCGCTTTCCTGTATATTATTGTAAAAACTAACCCAGGCCCAGCCTGTCTGCGTTATTATGCAATATCCTACCCCTGGCCCCCTATTGTTTGATAACTGAACATATATATATATGTATTAAATAATTCACTAACGTTTAACAGTACCATTACATTTTAACTGAGAAGGAGGAGCCGCAAGAGCAGCCCTGCTCGGCCAACGGATTGGCCACCATGCGAAAACCCGCTCGTATCAGCTCGCTGTGATAGTCCACGGTCGAGCCAGTGCAGTACTCCAGCGATACGGTGTCAATCACCACCTTGGCCTTTTCCTCGCCAAACTGCAGGTCGTCCTCGTTCATTTTTGAGTCCAGATCGAACTTGTATTGGAATCCCGAGCAGCCGCCACCCTCGACGGTTATGCGCAGGAACGAGCCATCGATGCAGATCTCACGCAAACGTTTCAAGCAGCTCTCACTGACCTGTATCTTCTGTTCGGGATTGGCCGAAGCGACATGCCGGCTTGCAACCGCCGACTGCAGTAGATTTCTGCCAAAAAAAAATTATATTCAAATTTTTTAACGAATTTTTTGTGGAAATTACCTTTGCAGCCCCGGCTTTATCAACTGCCTCAATAGGAACGACATTTTTCAGCCGAGTAGAAAATTATTTCAAAATTTTTATTTACTATCTCGTAATCCAAAACAATGAAGGCCCAGCTGTTCGATGCGATGAATTTTGCTGCAGTAGGCGATAGATATTCGATACATTCGATCAATAGTATCGATATACTCGCTGAGTGTTTGCGATATTTTCTTGGGTCAAATTTATCGGTATATAATGGTATATTTAATTAATTTCATCTATTAAATTACATTTTAAAATGTATATTTAAGAACTAAGGATATAGAAACTTGCATACGCGGGTCTTTCGAATTTGTGCTATCTCAAATCGTGCTGCCGTCCATCATTTATTCCAAGGGAGTGCATTTAAATCGTTTTCGCTCATTCATTTTCAAACCATTTCTATTTGGCGCTCAAGTTTAGTGGGACTTGCTCTCTTTTTTTGCGATTTGCTATATATTTTGTGATGGGCTATCCTCTGTTGGTGGAGGGATTTTTCCACGCCACAATGTCCCTTACATTACTTACATTGTCCCTGTTTTCTGTTGACCTTTTTTTCAAACCTTGTTGTAGCTAAATTCAATAAAAAGGAGTACTTAAGTAAGTAACTAATCTTGTAGAAAATGTATTTATGAATGGCATAAAATTATGTGGGCAGAGCTAAAAGCTTTAGTTAGTCAGCATCATTCAACGGAATATCAAACTTAAGCAATAGGGACTATTTTTTCTTACGTTCTCCTAAACCAATAAAAACAAGTATTTAATATAAACCAGTTAAGTAGTAAATTGATTCATTAATCGGATAAAATTATGTGGGCAGTTCTGAGGGTTCAATATAACTAGTAATATTCGACGGAATATGAAAAACGAGGAATATGTATAATATAACTTTAATTCGTCAGTATATTTACGATATATTTTTCAAATGAGACGATATATTTCGGTATATTTTTGAGGGTCTGTCAAACTGATCTAAGCATCCCTGCGCTTGCGCTTGTTTTGGAATTTGAAGACGTTGGCTGTTTGATTTTACTTAAATTCGTGTTCTTTTATATTCGTTCGTTGTTTCGTTTGACCGTGTATGTGTTTAGTGTTAGGAAAATATTAACAGCTGATGGCTTTGCATATACGTGTGAAAGGAAACTTTGGCAGCAGCTGCAAGAGACCCGTCACCGTACTTGACGATCCAGTTCGTGTCAAAAAAGATCTTGAAAACGAGCGTCGCATAACTCGTTTACAGCAGGTACGCTATGCGAGTCTACGACGCATTAATTCCGAAGGTCTTGTAACATTTACGTTGTCTTTTTAGGTGCGCGAGAAGTCGAACAGCTTGGCCCGAAAAATACGCGAGGATGTTACTGCGGAAAAGAAACGCCAAATAAACCGATTGAAGCAGACCAAGCAGGACGAGCTGAAAGTGTGGCGTGAGAATGTTTTGGTCAAAAAGCACCAAGACTACCGGTCAGCCATATTTCAAGTGGGTTACGCCCATCGGGCAGCACAAGCGGAGAATGAGGAGACCGCAAAGCGGAAGCAGGAGAAAATCGACAAAATAAAAAACTGCAGGCTTCGGGCAATGAAAAGAAACGCTGAAAATACTCGGGTGAAGCTGCGGTCAGCCGGTGGTATGAATCCTCTCAATGCGCAAGGACGCGCCACAACTAGCACACAAACTCCTTTGCCCCAGGAGCAGCCCGACGACAAGGAGAACCGTGCGACTGGCGGCGTGGCCTACAATTTCCCAAGCTTGCCGGAGCGAGCCTGCTGCCACGACAATCCCAAATGCTTCTGCCTGACCTCCGATGATGATTGTGACGATTACGAGAGCAGCGATTCCTCCATCTTGCATTTGGACGGCGAGGATGGGGAGAACAATACGCGCCCGTCTTCACCCATTACTGGTGCGACAAACAAACTAAAGAAGAACCCTACAGTGATTCTGGATGTGAACATAGACGAGGCAGACGGCCATGTGGTCAACACTTGCACTGGCCTGGACATCAACGACAGATACATTCAAACCAACCGCAAATTCAGCCATGTTGTGCGTACCAGTCCTGCCACCAGTCCAGATCGAAAGGATAATCCACGCCGACAACGGTTTACCCAAATCACAGATATAGTTAAACGCACCGAGACAATAGTTCGGCCATTGCAAGCACCAGCCCAAGCCCCAGCCCCAGCCAGAGCCCAAGCACCAGCCCAAGCCCCAGCGCCAGAGGAACCAAAGCAAGCGCACGCACCACCACCGAGCCCCACAAAGTCATTGCCCCGATCGCCCAAAAAGGCAATGCCGGCAGCAAAGGCGCCAGCAGCTGCTTCTGCCAAAAAACTTCCAGCCCCCAAGCGGGCGACAACTACACAAAAGGCCAACAGAGCCCCAAAAGCAGGGACGAGCCAACAGCAGCCAATGAGGCGAAGCACTGCCCTGAGAACAGATCCACCTCCTGCCAAAGTGATCGACGCGGGAATAAAACGAAAAACGTTGCCAAAAAAAATAACCACTCAATCGCAAACTGCGAAAGCAACAGCACAACCCACACAACAAGCTACAGCCCAGGGAGCAGCCCCTTCAATGCAGCAAAATGCACAAATGCAGCAGCCCCCTCTAGTGCAGCAAATGCCTCAAAATCCACAAATGATGCAGCAACAGCCTCAAAATCCACAAATGATGCAGCAACAGCCGCAAATGCAGCAGGTCCCTATAGTGCAGCAATATCCACAAATGCTGCAAAATCCACAAATGCTGCAAAATCCACAAATGCAGCAACGGAATCCTATGCAGCAAGCATCTCTATATCCCCCTCCTCTGCAGCAGCAGCAGCAGCAACCATTCCAAACTTACGCTCAGTATCCACAGGCTCAGCCACAATATCCACAACAGTCGATGCCGCCTATGCAACAATTTGCGATGCCCTTTCAACCACGTCCACCTCAGACACATCCCATGTACGCACAGCAGGGGCAAGCAATGGCAAGACCTCCTTCACCGGATGTCCCTCCCACGGACCCCCCTCAAATATCATCAACAACGCATTCCAGTGTCTCCACCGCTCAATTTATCCTGCGGCAAAGCGGCCAACCAACAAATCCAGCCAGTTACGTTCATTTCTATGATCATAACAATAGGTACCATCGAACCTATGAGGCACCCGCCAAGTCAGTGCAATTAAATGGCAAAGATCCCAGACTGCCGACTGCCATGGATCAGGCGCTTGATGAAAATCACCTGAGAGAATTGCGAGAGCAAGAGCTGGACCAGCTCAGGTAAGAGTTCACCTCAAAAATGTACCAAAACAAATATAAACCTATCTGCAAACAGGAAAAAATGCGATAAGCGCGGTAAAAGGGCCCTGGAACGCGAGCAGGTGCGTCGGGACTGTGCCGAATTGACAGAAAAACTAGATGCTTTGGTCCAAAATCAACCGAATCTACTGCCCAGCGATGTGAGTCGATGAGTTTTCACGTTTTTCATGTACCTAATTGATTTGTTTTTAGGCAAACTTTATACCCAGTCATCGGTTTGCGGATCTGGCTGTACGTCGGGAGCAAAAAATGAATGAGGCCATGGAGGAGATGTTGCTGCGACCGGCCATCGTTACATGCCCGGAAGTTGGTTCCAATGCAAGATCTGCCACATCTGGAAAGGGCAAGGTCACCGCCGCCCCGAGTGTCATTAATGTGGGAGAACATCCCCATAGATCAACGGACTTTAAGGGGAGCTCAGAGAGCTGCTGCTCCATGCTGCTCGACTATGTGGATGATCAGAGCAAGCAGCTTCGTTCAGATCTCAGGGCAGAGGAGTCCAACACCCCAAAGTCCATTAGATTGAAGAATTTGCTGGATCGTGTGGAAAAGATACGCATACAACTGATGGAGGAATTGAAAGCGGGCCAGCGATCCTCCTCCCATGCAGACAAGGACAAGGAGGTACTGGACGCCTTACGTCAGGAGCGGGAAGATATACTGGCAGAGAAGGCGCGTACCCTAAACGAGCGGGAAACGGAACTGGAGCAAAAGGAAGCCCTACTCGAGCAGCGTCTGCGGAAGTTCTACAAAGCACAAAAGCAGAACAAGATCATCGATGTCGAGGCGAAAGATAGGGAAAATCCCGTGATCATCATCAAGGTCAACAGCGATGGCACTGTCAAGCAGTGTATGCCCAAGCACAAGTCGAAGCCAAAAGCCAGATCTACTGAAATTGAAATTGAAGCTACCAAGGAATCCACATCGGGTGTCACCAGAGAGAGCACGCCCACGATTGCGCCAACATCGGATGGCAAGGATCAGGGTCAAAACTCCATAGACTCGAATTCCACAGCCTACCGGAGTCTGCCCCCGATTACCTATAAGAACCCTAATGCCCCAGCGTCTGCATCTGAGGCGCTGCCTACTCAAGTGGATCCCGTGATTGCCCAATATATACAGCGTCTGTTGGGCATGACCCGACGCTCCATACAAGAACTGAGTGTCAGCAGTTCGGATGTGCCCACGCCCAATCCATCGATCATCAATTCATCCAGGAACATTGCGCCAGAGGAGATTGTGGCCGATAGCCTTCGCGTGGAGCATGCAGTTGAGACTGCGGCTGACAAAATGCGCGTGGACCGGGTTCAGGCCTTCATTGAGGACAACCGGAGTTTCGTCAACGAGCTGGAGGACACTCTGCGCAGTCAGGTGCAGCAGCAGGAGCAGGATAAAGAGACCAGCATGCAGGCCTTTGATCAGATCTGGAACAAGCGTTTGTCCAAAAAGCAGGTCCCCGATAAAGCTCGCCAGTCAAAGGATACGGGAAAAAAGCGCACAGAGCACAAGCTTGAGAAGGAGCAGCCTCGTCCCTCCAGCCGCCAGTCAAGTCCTGCCAGAAAGTCTGTTACCATAGCTACTCCGACGAAGAGGACGTCCCAATCTGCAGTCGAGAAATCCAATAAGCATCCCCCTAACCAGGAGCCTGCCGATCTACAAATTGAGCGCTATGCAAGGCTCACCCAGAACTACACGCATCGCATCGCCGAGCTGACGGAGCTGATCTCCAAAGTGCGCGAGGAGAAACAGCGTCTGGTGGAGGTGACCCTCACCTCGGCCAGTGATGGCGAGCGCCAATCCACGGAATACTTGGAACTGCCGCCCGGTCAGACGCAGCCGGAGAAGGACAAGCAGCACAGATCCAGAACGCTCTCGGAGCGCAGCGACAATACGACTCCCTCCACATCGGAGGCTCTGCCGCTAATGAAACACAAGCCAACGGCGGCCAGCAGGGACAGTGGAATCTCCGAATCGCGTCCCATTACTGCTCTGGGTCAGGTCAATGTCGATGCAGAACCCCCCACATCCACACAGAGCACCGCGCAGCGACGGGGAAAGGCACCTCCAGCCACCATACGCCGCTATAGCCCCCAACTTGATGCGGATGATCTGGCCCACGAGCTGTCCACCATAGCAGAGGTGGAGACGCCCGGCCAGTCGCATATTGTGGCTGCCACGCCAGTGCCAAAGCCGTTTCCCAACTTTGATGAATATGCCCGAGATATGAAATTAGATCTGTCCAACTTGGATGCCGATCAAAGCCTGCGGCTGAAGCTGGAGTTTAACGAGCTCGTCCAGGCCATCCATCAGCGATGTGGAGGCCTCGACTATCGGGAGTTTCCCAGCCTAAATGCATATCTCCACAGTCTGAATACCACGCGGCTGCGTGTGGAGGAGTCGGAACAAGGCACTCTGACAACGGGAGAGCTGATGCGGCAATTGCGCCTTCACACTGTGCCCGTCGAGGATTTTCCCGACCGCCGGGTCTACATGCAGAAGTTGCTCGACAAGGTACCGCCCGATCAAAGGCAGATGATTGATTCGTCGAGCCTGGATAATGATTCATCGGATTCCTTTAATGTGGAAAAAGAGCTGCGTCAACGGCGCATCATCAGAACCTCTGATGGCGCCACAGAAGTCATCACCACACAGGAAGTGGCCTGCAGTACCCGCAGGGAGAGCGTTCCACCCGACTCGACTGAACCGCCCAATGAGAGCGGCATTCAGCACCTCTCTGGCAGCAGTTTGTCCAGAGATCTAGATCGAGAACTGCAGCGCATTGGCGTGAAGTGGCCCTCCACAATGCGCCAGCGGCAACGTCAGGAGGATGCCAGCAGCACCAGCAACAGTTCGCCAGAACGACAGACAACGCGATTAAATGCCGGTTACGGTCGATCAGCGGAAAGTAAGTCCAAACACATGACATCCGATCAATCCGGCCAGAATGCCAGCCAAATTGGCCGCTCGCTGAACTTGCGCGAGTTTCTCACGCGCGAGCTACTCAAACATCATGTGGGAACTGCAGACAGCTCGGATGATTCCCTGAAGAGCCATTTCCTGCACTCCATCATCGATTCGCTTTCGCGATCCAGTTCACCGCAAAGCCCAGCCCATGGTACAGGAGCCACCAATGACCGCCAAAAGACCTCGACCCCTAGGGGCTCATTCCAGACGGTCCAGGAAAGGTCTGGCCAGACGACACCCCAGGAAACGCCCGTTTTCGGTCCCTCCCCCACAAACTCACTATTGTTCTCGGGCGAGAGTCGCATTTCTCTAATCAATTACCCGGATGGCACACCGCCAGTGCCCTTTGCGTCCCATCATCAGCAGAGCAGGCATACGAGCGGCAGGGCGACCACCCCCACAGCTCTTACACTGAAGTCGCCTCCAAAATCGGAACCTAAGCGGAAATCAAAATCAAGATCACCGAGATGAAAATCACCCGCCAAAATCAGATCACCACGAAAGTGATTATTTTATGGACTAGCTCAAGGGATTTTAATGGATTATAGCTCAAGGGATTTTAATTTTTAGCAACAAATTTTGTATGACTATTATTTATATTTTAATAAAAGGATATTATTTATACAAAAACTCACAGAGAAAGTGGCGGACAACGTCACATCCGCTTCGTTTCTTCGTCTCGCATTCGAGTACGAGCCAAAAATGGATTGTTGCGCTCATCCGAAAGTGCTGATTGCTGCTATAGACAAAGAATGTCCCCATTATAGTTCGCTCAAACTCAAACATAAGTCAAATACCTGCAATTGAGACCACACCAGAACCATTGAACGGCTTGCTCATCGCCATGCATCCAGCCGGGGCAGCTGGTTATTTATATTTTAAGAAATTAAGAAATTTAAGAAATATTTATTCAAAAAACACGCGTCTAACTACAATTTTCAAGTACAATTGTTCACATTTCACAGTTGAATCAAGTCGGAGGAATATACAATGTATATCAACTATATTTATAAGTACATTTGGAAAAACTAAACTAAATGAGTGATTAAGTGAAAAGTGCTTCCGCCTGTTCGGAAGATTATTTAAGTATGTCATGTTGTATATTTTGTGAACATTTCACTGGCTTTTCCTGGTCTTTTTCCCCCCTTTTTTTGGAGAGATAACATAATATCTAAGTACAATACATATAAGGCAGCACACAATCTAGACTTTTCGGTTTTCAAAACTGTTATCGAGTCTTAAACTAAAGACTAAGAACATGGAAACATGAATATTACATACAAATATGTATCTATGCAAAAAGAAAATCATTTTGGTACGGTTTCCGTTGGGCTACACAGCACCGGCTGTGGGGTAAATGCGAATCCCGGAGTTTCCATTGCCCCATTCCCACTCACTCCTCCTGCCGCTGATCGTCTTCCGACGACTGTTGCGCCGCGGCCCTTTGGTCCTCCCGTTGCCTTTGCATACGCTTGAAGGTATCGCTGGCCACCTTCTTGAGACCGTCCGACTCACTGCCCGTGGCCTCGACCATCTGTCGGAGGTGGCCCCGGGACTTCTTGAGCAGCAGATGCGGGACATCAAACTCCACCGCTGTGCCAGCGTCCATGACGATAATGCGATCCGAATCCATGACAGTGTGCAACCGATGGGCAACCGTGAGGACGGTGCATTGCTGGAACTTGACGCGAATGGTGCGCTGTATCAGGCCATCGGTTCTGGCAAGAGAAAATAGGTTCAGATTGAAGCAGAACAGATGGCAGATTGAAGAACTCACTGTGGATCCACATTGGCCGTGGCCTCGTCCAGCACCAGGACCTTGTTATTCCGTAGTATGGCCCGTGCCAGGCACAGAAGCTGTCGCTGGCCAACGCTAAAGTTGCTGCCCCTTTCCGTGACCATGTAGTCCAGTCCGGGAATGGCGCCGCGCAACTCCACATCCTCCAGGGCGTGCCAGAGCTCGGCGTCCGTGTACCGCTCAAACGGATCCAGATTGTAGCGAATGGTGGCCGAGAAAAGCACCGGATCTTGGGGTATAATCGAGATGCGAGTGCGCAGGATCTCCAGCGAAATGGTGCCCGTCTCAATGCCATCGATATAGATGCCGCCCTCGATGTGCGCCAATCGGAAGAGGGCTCCAATCAGCGACGATTTGCCAGCACCTGTCCGGCCCACTATGCCGACCTTCCAGCCCGCTTCGATGGTGAGGCTGAGATTCTTGAGCACCGGCGATCCATTGGGATCGTAGCGACAGCTCATGTCGCGCAGCTCCACCTGGCCATGGGTGGGCCACTGGGCCGGTGGCTCCTTCTCACTGACCGCCGGCTCCTGCTCGAGTTCGGTGTACTGCAGCACGCGCTCCACGCTGGTCATCTGCTGCAGGGACTCGGCCACCTGGCGGACGCCATACTGCACCATGCCCGTGAGTATCATGGCCTGGGAAATGGCCAGGCCCACATTGCCGCTGTACGTGGCTGTAAAGGAGTTCACAAATTAGTAGTAGTAGCCAACAGAAGGACCCGTCCTCCACTCACATTCGTTGCTGATGATGAAGCTGAATGTGACCACCGAAAGGAAGACACAACTGACGCAGTCCAGCCAAAGACCCAGCGCCGTATTTGCAGCCATCGTCAGCTGCCAGACGCTGCTGTGGACATCCTGCAGCAGATCGAACTCCTTGGCCACAACATCCTGCAGCTGTCGGGAGCGTATGATGGCCAGTCCCGAGAGCGAAGAGCTCAGATGCGAGAACACAGGACTGCGGCAGATGCCCTCCAGCCGCTTCAGATCCTGCGATGGTCGCAGATACAGCTTCAGGATGAGCATATCGATGACGGCCACCACAAGCATGGCAGCCATCAGCACGGGGTTCACCACAGAGATCACAATCAGGATACCAAACATCACGAGAGCAATCTGTATAAAGTCCATCATGGCCCGAGGCAGCAGCTCATCAATGGCCCCCATATCCTTGGAGAAACGATTCAGTATCCTGCCCGAGGGATTCGTGTCAAAGAACCGCATTGTGGCGTGCAAAATGCAGCCAAACATGCGATCGTGCAGCACCTTGGAGGCGTGCATGCACGTCTTGAAGAACAGAAAGCCACGGAAAGTGGTCATAATAACCACAGCGATGATCAGCCCGCCATAGATGTACATGCACTCGAAGGTGGTGAAGCTGGTGGGTTCCCCCAGCGATCGCTGGTGCTCCTGCTGCGTCCAGATGTTCGAAAAGAAGTCGGAGCTGCTGCACACCACCTGGGACATCAGCATGACGAACACCATGAAGCTGAAGCTCAGGCAAGTGCTGCCCGCATGGAAGTACTCGTACCAGACTTTCGGGGAGATACCACCAGAGGCCTGGGCCTCCGCCAAATCATCATCATCCGGATCCATTTCGGTTTGATCGCTGCTGTTCAACTGTGAAATACATATAGATATATAGATAGATAGATATAGATTGAGGAGACTCCACTCTGATCTTACCGATTTGCTGCCGTGGGTGGAGTTGCTCTGTTTCCTCAGCGGCTGATAGCCATCGCGTACGCCATCAATGTAGGGTATGTCATCATCGTCATCCTCCAGGTCATGGCCACTGATGGTAGGCGATGATGTATTCAGTCTGTTGCTGTTCTCCGTCTCCTCCTCTTTGGGCCGCTCCAGGAGCTTGGCAAAGTCGAGTTCGCTGTTGATTAGCTCCTGATATGTGCCCTTCCTTAGGATACGTCCTTGATCCACAATCACAATCACATCGGCCTCGGACAGAAAGTGCACTTGATGTGTGACCAAAACGCGGGTGGCCTTCAGCTGGGCCAGACGGCCCCTGGGTCCAATCACCTCGTCGAACAGATGCCGCCCCACATGGGCATCTACGGCACTCAGTGGATCGTCCAACAGGTAAATGGAGGCGGGCTTGTAGACAGCCCGGGCCAAACTGATGCGCGCCCTTTGACCGCCAGAGAGCGAGGCACCGCGCTCGCCCACCACCGTCTTGTCGCCGTTGCTCAGCTGCTGGAAGTCGGTGCTGAGGGCACAGCATCGGGTGACCTCCTGGTAGCGCTTCCGATCGTACTGCTCTCCAAACAGAATGTTCTTGCGCACGGTGCCCGTGAAGAGCCAGGGCTCCTGGGCGGCATACGACAGATCTCCTTGAATCACGACCCCGCCATCGATGATCGGGAGCTCTCCGAGCAGGAGCTGGAGCAGAGAGCTCTTGCCGGCTCCGACGGTTCCAATTACGGCGCACAGTTGACCCTTCTCGATCTGCAGGTTGATGCTCTGGAGGGTGCGCTGGGCCACCGGCTTCTCGATGTCCCAGCTGGCATTGATGTCCTTGAGGATGACGGCACGCGAGTCGCCACCATCCTGGTTCTGCTTGTGCGTCAGTCCGTGGGTCTTCTCGTCGCGCCCCTCCAGCTGCAGGTAGTCCTGTATGCGCCGCAGGGAGACCAAGGCCTCGGCTCCAAAACTAATGGCCAGGGGATACCAGATGGCGGCCACCAGCTGCAGGATGTTGTAGTAGCTGGCCGCCGAGAACACAAAGTCCGCGGTGATGGGTTGGCCCATGAGAGCGGCCGCCGCCAGGGTGATGTACAGCGTGGAACGCTCCGTGAACACCATGGTGCTGAGGTAGAAGCCACGCAGGTAGGATGCATAGCGGATCTGTTGGATCTCGCTGCGTCGGGCCTCGGCCACGACCGCCTGAAAGGGCCGCTCCCAGGCATACATCTTGATCACCTGTATGCCCTGCACCAGCTCGTTCATGATGCCCACGCGAGCGTCGGTGCGCTCGGCGATCCGCATCCGCAACACGGACGTCAGCTTACTGAGCGCCGTCTGCACTGGTATGGTCTTCAGCAGCAGCCCAATCACCCCCACCAGCGCCGGGATGCCAATGCGCAGCCAAATCAGGTAGCACGTGAGCACCGCCTGCATGGGCATTATCCAGATCCAGTGGACAAATATGAAGCCATAGTCCAAACGATTCACATCGTTCGAGAGCAGGTTAATCAGATATCCAGCCGGGGTCTGGCCCGCCGTCTTCATCGACACCCTCAGGGTTTTGCGGTAGATCAGCGAACAGCAGGCAATGCGCATCCGAGCGCCCATCAAACGCTGACGCAGATCCACGTGATGCAGCAGGAAGCAGCCAAACAGAGTGGAGCCCACGAGGACACAGCCCAGGCTGTAGGTATCGTTCCAAATGTATTCGGTGGCCTCCTCGAAGCTACTCCGCTGGATGCTGGCATTCCGAGCCACCTCTTCGGTTGAGAGTTGCACGTATTCCTTGGTGGGATCCAGGCCCTTGTCCAGGGCATTGGGGGAATCGACATCGCTGCCTGCTCCGCTGGCATCGGCCACAGCCTGCGACAGCACAAAGTGACCAATAGAGCGGGCTGTTCTGTTTAGGGTCTCTGTTAGAGATATTTCCTTGACGGGTGTGGGTGATGGCAGCTTCTGGAACTGAAGCAACAACTGGGCCAGTACAGCGGGTATCAAGGTTCTAAAAAACAAAACATATTTATAGTTTTATGCCTAAAATGATCCATGTTTTCCGACTCACTTGATCACTATATAGATTAAACAAATAAGACCATTGACGATCGTGGGTCCTAAAAAGCAACGAAATAGGGCATTCCTTAGCCGAGGCTTGTTCGATTTGCGATGGGCTCGTTCCACCTCCTTGTACCATTCACTACAAACAGAGTACAGGTTTTAGATGAGTTTATGATCCATCAGTCAGTACTTACTCCTCCAAACGATCGCCTAACTGCTCAGAGTGATCCTCCTCGAGGCATTCCGTCAGATCGTCTGTGTTTAGTCCGCGACGCGATCCCCGGTAGAGCAATGGCAACGCCCATGCAAATATCAACTGCGAGAAGATATTTGCACCCTGACGCGGATTTTTACGTTCCGGCTTTGGACTGCTGTCCATGTTATCATATGGCTTTCTGTTTGGTCAGCGTCTGCGGTTCCACCTGTGGGTTGTAGGTGGCGACAAATAGAACTAAACTTATGTTAAAAATAAAAAAAAAGTTACTCCAGTCTCATTTCTACGACTCGGCATAACTCCGATAAGGCTGAAGTAATCAGCAGCCCGCAAGTAATTCCGGTCATTTCAATACCCTATATATTGTATTATTATATGTTAATGTGCTGTGATGATCAGCGGGCCTTGTCTACGACTGGTTTCTTATCAGTTACGACGACCTTGAGCAATAACTTATAACCCAATTAGTAAGGGATTTCATCACAGTAAAGATTATGGAACATACAGTTCTCGGCTATCACTGAATACTCGTTCAAAAAATATACGAGAGTACAACGAGATAAAAAAGACAATTTCCTAAACGATTATTATTGATTACTCGTACTCTCAACCAGTTTAAAACAAGTTTCAACATTTAACAAATAATAAAAGCAAACACCGGTCACGGTAGAACCCTTCCCTTGAATACTGATGCATTTATGCAAAGCTTTACTATGATATGACAAGGCATGACATGGATATAATCTTTATACTAAGTGATGTTGTTCTAAGATCTCACCCAAACCATAATATCCTCAGAAAAGGTACAAAGATTAGTTAATTTATGGTTTACTTCCTCCATTAATTGAGGACATATTGAACTTCTAACAAAGGGCAGATCCAAGAAGCAAAGGATGTTCCTATTGATATAGCATCGGTTTTATATGAGCCCTACCAAATAGTAAACATATTTCCTATAACTTGGCATAGGTTTTCAAAAACAAGACAGCCAGATCCCTACCTTACGGCTTTCAAAAATACTTTCCGTTCATTCAGATGTTTCCAATTCAGAAAGAAATACTCGTACTACGAATGTACCATAAAAATCAAGACGAACTGTGTTCCAGCATACGCTCCAAAACACACATACGCGTCTCCAGATGGACGGTCAGTCACACCGTTTGCTCACGATGATATCGGTCATTAGCTCTGAGCCATGTTTATTTGCTTTGTCTGTAACTGATAGCATATGACACGAGGAGCGTTAATCATAAAGCATTTGGAGCCAGGACAGAGGCACACGTACGTTTACGTGTTCGAGAAGACCTCCTCATACTCGCATGACAATAATCATAATGTTTATTAATTGGTAAGCAAAAGTCCAGAGACCTTCTCAGATAACCCACACAACACACCGTTCATGTATGATGATGTGTCTGTGTTTTGGGAAGGTTATAAGCCATGTGCCAGACTAAAACACAATTTGACCCACTTACGCGCAAAAGGAAATTTCATTTTTCGCATGGAAAGTTTTCCCATGTAAAGCTGACGAGGCGGTGTATTCGTTCGTCGGAAAGTTTCTACGTTCTTCTACGTTCCGTCAGCTTTCAGTTAATAAAAGTTAAGTGATTGACCGCGAAATTGTTCATGTTTCATTATGGGGGCGCCCGGCGCCGCCAATGGAATATTATCATCACCATTTACAGGGCGGCATGGGATGTCATAAAACCAAATAGATCGCAGATTCTTCCAATTGAACTTGATCGTTCTTAATTGTTCCAATGAATGGGAATCAATTTACGGAAACAGAAAGGAAATTTTCGCAGATGCTCGACTCTCGAGTATCCCTAATTAGACCCATTAAAACCGCATAAGGAGATTATATTAGTGAAGTAATTAAAATTATCTCGCATTGCTGAAAGAAATGATAAAAGAGCACAGTTTGCCCTACATATTTTTGCTATCTAAACGTGTAGTATGGTATATTATGTTCTTACAGCTGATTAGGACGAGTGCCAGCCGGTTAAAAGAGGTTCTATTCATAAATTTTGGTTATAGATTAGGGGGAAATGGAAGCCACTTGGAGGAAAGAACCCTTCCTTATGGTTCCTAGATTTCTTGCAGATCTTTTCATCCATTGATCACGCACTTATGTGCATCCAAAGATTGGCTTTATTCTTTATTCTCTTTGTAATTTTTTGGTTAAACTTGGGCTAATACTAGACCACGTTTTCAAATTAATTCTAGGGTTCTGTACGGTTTGGTTCTCCCCACTCGCTTTACAGTTAGTCTGCTGCTTTGAGCAACAGTTGTTCCAGCCACTCAATTTACCGTATGATATCATATATCAAACGGAAAGAGTTCAAACGAAATGAAATTCAAACACCGACTCTTAAAATTATTGATAATAATAACTTTTCTTTCCGTTGCTATTTTTTGTGTGAAAACAAACACAAGTTGTAAAAACAGTGATTAATTTTTTTACCGGCTAACGCAACACACACACACAGCCACTTTGACTCGTGCAATACACACACACACAGCGGCAAACGGTATCTGCGTACCCGAACCCACAGCACAGGCAAACAAGTGGTTGCCAGACAGCCGTCGCTGGGCGGGAGGGGGGTTGGGAGGTTGTGTGGGGAAAACCGGCATTGCAAATTCTTTCGCTGTTGCACTGCACTGCCCTCACGAGCATACAATTGCCCATAGCCAAATTAAATAACGGTGAATGACGTAAAACCAAAGGGAGACGGCGTCAGAGACAGCCAGCATATTGGGGAACGGATCAGGAGGAGGGGAAGCAAAAACAAAAGCCAAGTGCTCACACACACACACTCACACACACGCACAGACAGTATGTATTTTTATGCCATTTATTACGCGAACGACATGGAAAGAGATAGAGACAGAGAGACGATTGCCGGGCGAAAAGGGCAATAAAACTGCACAATTTAAGTAATCACGTAAAAATTAATCAAGTCATTGGGCCACTTACAAACACTACTTCAGCATTAATTATTTTCCACTACCGAGTGATTTGTGTACTCGAAACAGTCGCGGCTTCAACACGTGCAGAATTACCCCCACAAAAGAAAGAACGACAGACACAACGAACGAAAACGAACAGAAATCCGCGCCAAACGTCCGCCTCAGTGGACTGCCCGTAACGGAATGGGGTTTAATGCTCAATGCTCCATGCTCCAAGTCTCCCTCAGTGAGCACGGGTGTACACAAGCAGAGAGAGAGAGAGAGAACACTTAAAGTAAAGCTGAAGAGAACAAGAATACACTGTCCTACAGGGGTCTTATAACATGAATTGGGTGTAAAATTTGTTCGATTAATGGCCACCTAATTTACGGTAACAATTTATTTGCATAATTAAAAAACTTTCTTTTTTGGTTTATTGTCATCAGAAATTTAAAAACAATTATTTTATATATATATTTTATTTATTATATATATATTATATTGTTATTCTCAAAAAAAAAAACGCTACTAATAATTAATTAGAATTTAGTAAATCAAACCCGTTTTATATCACATTTTATATTTTTATTGTTTGAGCTACTTAAAGGCTTTAACCCTAAAAACAGATTAGCTACACTTCAGTTACGCATTAGATACAATTTAATAAATGTGGATGATACGGTTGATTAAATTGGAGTCCGTCTGGAAAATTTTAGTCTCCAAAATGTTCCAAATGTTTTTTCGCTGCTGTGAGACTCCAAAAAACTCAATCTCTACACGCAATTCAATCGGGCGAGAGTGTGAGACAGAGAGAGGGTGAGCTTTTACACTGCCAGAGAGCAAGCTGAAGCTTTTTTACATGTCATGTCATGTAATAATTGATGGAATTTACATTGAGAGATCCATTTAGTTAATTTTATTATTAATTAGTTATTAATATAATTTATAATTCTAATTTATAATTTATATAAATTAATAGTTAACTATAAAAAAATCGTATATGTAGTAAACATTAAATTAGTATAAATATAAATGGAAAAATGTTTATTCTAAGATAGAAGACTCTTAATGTTGCTTTAGCCTTCTTTTGAACACCTATGTATGTACATATGTATGTTCATACATCTGTAAGATATGCGTTCTGTGGCGTTTGGCGTTGTATTCCAAACCCGACCCCCGTGCAGCGCTGTGTAAACACACACTGCAACAGTTGTTCTATTTTGGCGCCAAAAATAGCGGAGAACGTAAACAAAAGTCTATCAAAAACAAAAAACACACTCAATCCGAAAGCTCTCTCTTACACTCGCTTACACTCACTTACACTCTCATCCACTCACGTACGTAGGCTACAGGATGTAGGTCAAACACTGCGTATGAGTGATATGGCAAGAGGCAACAGAATTTCGCTTTAACCTTGCCGCAGTTCAGTTGTGCGAGTCGCGTACAACAGTCAACTCCTTTTCGGAAAATGTGAGATCCACAAAGCGGCGGAAGGCTGTAAAGGAATTTCGCGCGCGACTTTTACCGAATCTGTGACGGGCCAAAAGAAATAAAAGAAGGCTCACAAACGGGCCGAACAATTGGAATTTATTTTTGGCAGCCCATTGTCATTGGTTACACATTGGCAGACACATTGTCGCATAGACAAAGGCAAGTGGCTCTCAAACTGCCAGCAGGCGAAGGCAATGGGCAGAATCAGCATTAAAAATGCAAAGGTCCCAAGTGGGGTCCACGATCCACCTGCGAAAAGGGCTCTCGCTGTTATCGCGCCTCTGGAGGCGCACTCGCATCTCATTGGTCTCATCCATGAACATTCAGGGCGAGTCGAGTCCTGTATCCTGTGGCCGCCATGGAAATTACACCACATACCCCAGTGCAATGTCAAGTGGCAGAATGAGCTGTCACCAGGCGGGAGAGGCGAAATTTTTAGATATAGGTTTTATAGTGAGAGCTAACAGGAGTGCGGATACCAAATTTGGTTAATCTATCGTTTATAATCTCTGAGATTTGTGAATGTCCCCAGATTTTCGTCCTTTGCGGGGTCGGAAGGGGGTGTGGCGAAATTTTGAAACAAACTCGTCTGGGTCCGATATATTAGGAGTGTGGATCTTGGAAAAACCTGTTTGCAGCGATATGCTCTAGTTTTAATGTTTAATGTTTAATGTTTAATGTTTAGAGTTCAACCACTAACCATACAGTATACTGTATGGTTAGTGGTTCAACTATGGACAGTTAAACTGTGTAAAAATAGGAATATACAAATCATAAAATTATCTGCTACTGGAAAGTACTGGAAAGTAACTTAAATTATTCATTAAAGAAGATTTTACTTTGGAAGCGCAAGTATCAAAGGAAAAAAGATGGACAAATTTATTGTAATCGCGGCAAAGGCTACGGAAAGATTCATGGTCAGAGTAGTTTTAAGGACAGAGAGGAAGATGGAGAGGAAAGTAATGCCTAGTCGGGCGGGATGGAACAGCAATTCTGATAAGGCTAATGAGGGCCGAAGATTCAACCTCGCCTAGGAGAAGTTTGTGGAGAAAGAGAATTCCATGACAAGTTCTACGGCTTTCAAGAGAGTGCAAGTTAATGAGGCGCATCCGACTCTCATAAGAAGGAAGATGTCGAGAGGGGTCCCAATTGAGTCCGCGCAGGGCAAAGATAAGGAATTGTTTTTAAACGGACTCAAGCATATCTTGATATTTTTGGTAATGGGGAGACCAGATACAGGAACCATATTCCAAGATAGGCCGTACAAGAGAAACGTAGAGTAGTTTAGTGGTATAGGGGTCAGAAAATTCTTTCGACCATCTTTTGATAAAGCCTCCTTTGGCTTTATTCGAAATATCGGATATATGAGAATTAAAACATAAGTTCGGAACGAAGATAATGCCTAAGTCATTAGCTTTGTACACGCGTTCCAAGGAAATGTTATTAATTGTGAAGTCAAAAAGGTAAGGCTTGTTGCGATGGAAGGTCATGACGTTACATTTGGAAATGTTAAGAGGAAGACAGCATTAGGACTCGTGAATTAGTTAAAACTTGGGGAAGATCATTGATAAAGAGGTTAAATAATAAGGGCCCGAGATGGCTACCTTGCGGCACACCCGAAGAGACAAAAACTGGTTTAGAAAGAGAAGATTGGAAGCAGTCACGCTGAGAACGATTGCAAAGGTACGCATTAGTCCAGTGAAGAAGTTTAGTCGGAAATCCTAGTAGAGATAGTTTTTTATCATGGTAAGTTCGAAATATTTAAAACTTTTTATTGCCCAACCTGAATCCTTCTCCTGGAATTCACTGCTGAGAGTTATTAAATTTTCTATGGTATCATTTAGATGATCATCAATCAGCTCTTTTTCATATTCATATATTTCATATTCATATATTCATATATATTCATATATATTTTCATCATCAGTGTTTTTAACGTATGATCCATATACTTTTAAAGTGTATTTTATGGATCTGTACTCACTCATACAGTGACGCAATAAGTAGTTATTATATAGGCACATTGCTATGGGACAGTGTTATGTACACAAAGGAGGAATATAAATTATATACATACTATATACTCTAAGATCATTGCTGAGGGGCTGCGATACGGGCTGCCACAGTACTCCCCCTAGAAAAGTTACAAATCTTCAGTTTTGTCTTTTCTTCTCATATGTCCTTAATGGGATTTGATAGCTGATCGTTAGAAGAGCTGGTCTCGGAATTCGCCATAAATGCTGGCTTGAGCCTGTCGATTGAAATAGCTGTCTCTTTTCCATTAACGCGGATAGTGAACACCCGGTCTGAGGACTTGGATATAATCGGGTATGGTCCTGTGAACGGCGGCTCCAAGGGTTTTTTTACAGCATCAGTCCGGACAAAGACATGAGAACAATTGTGAATATCCTTAAGCAGGAAGAGTTTGCGCTTGATGTGATGCGCAGCTGGATTTGGGTTCACCACCTGTATTCTTCTCCTGAACTGGACTGCAAAGTCGAGTGGTTCCGACGGCACATCGACTTCGTAAAATTATTCGTTGGGAATACGTAACGTACACACGTATAGCATCTCTGCTGCTGATGCCTTAATGTCCTCCATGTAGAATTGTATCCGATAGAGGAGCCGCATTTACAGCAAACGCGCTTAGAGAGTATTGCACAAAGCAGAATATACAACATTTAATGATCACCACACGTGTGCCACGGGGTAACGGGCAAGTGGAGAGAATGCACAGAATCGTAGTTCCTATGTTGTCAAAGTTAAGTGGAAATAGTCCAGGTTCTTGGTATAAGCATGTAGCCAAAGTACAGCAGTTAATCAACAATATTGAACCAAGGAGTACGAAGATCACACCGTTTAAGGTTTTGACAGGTATCGATATGCGTTGTCCAGGTATTTCGAACGTATTTCAAATCGGGAGATTTTAGGGGAAAGATGCTTTGGTTAAAACCTTTCCATTTACAACTTTTTCCAACTCTCTGCCATGCAAAAGCTCCCTTCCACAAAACACAGCTAAACTTATTAACGTTAATCTAAAAAGTAGAGATAAAGTAGAGAAATACACAAAAAGGTTCATAGTCTATAATTTTTGAACTACGTACGTAGTTAAACTTAAACATGTAAATATGCCGCCCCATGTTACAAAAAGCGACCGTGTTCATAATCAGCTCACTGATTATAGTGCAATGTAGCAAAAACATACATAAATCAGGTAGATTTTATAATACAGAAAAAACTTTTTGGGTGCATGCAAAAAAAAAAACAAAAAGCACATAGTATGTTGGTGACTAGCTCCTTTAATCCATATTTAGCAATCACATCCTTTGTTATTCGTAGTTGGTTTCTAGCTTCATGTATTCGAACCGTTTTCGTAGGGATACTAAAACACATTCCGCCCCCAAAATAGCTAACGGTAGCACAGGGCTCCGCTTTACTTACACAACGATGCGGATTCTTTAATAGTTGAATATATAGTCGTTGATTTATTACCTTCAACTTAATAATAAATAAGATTGATTGCATTAATTCTTAGCACGTATTAAGGTGCGTAACATTTGCATTCTTAATAATTTTTTTTTGTTTTAAAAGACTTATAAGTCCAAATACATTATCTTTGTAGCAGAAAATGCTCCACAGAGGCTCAAGAAGCTTGCAGTATAAATAACAGCTGTTGTAGTACCCGATAATTTAATAATTGTACCCATACACATAGATAAAATAAATTGGGCTAAGAATACCATGCTACTTATAATGGCAATATCAGTGCCCAATCCTCTTACTCCTGATCCATGTTTTGCTTGTCCATTTTCATCTAACTCAAACTGAAAACAATAATAATTTTTCTTATGCAGATTATAACTTACTTTTGGCACACTCACCGTGGACAAATGGTGGTAGTGTGCTACAAGTAAATATGGCATGGTGAAGAGAGTAGAATACATAACACCCGCTGTCCAGCTAAACAGTATGACACTTATTTTTGCTCGAGTCAAGGCCATTAAGGCCATTCCAGTGCAATAAAAAAAAAGACCTCCAACGTATACAAGCTTGGCCCTTAAAAAGTTTAGGAATATATGATTATTTTGACCAAATTTGTTTCAATAACTTTGCATTACCGAAAACGTTGAATAAGCTTGTCTATAACAAGCGAATAGCAAGCACATGACAGTGAATACATTGCCATTCCCCAACATCCGAAGCGAATGCCCTCTTCGTAACGGATCTGAGGGTTTGAGCCTTCTGTTGCCTTTGGGTCACCATTGAATATAGCTTCGCCCACAAAATCAGTAAAATAAAGTGAGTAGCAAACGTGCGCCATCCAACAAAAAAGATTCGTGAGGCATACCATTCGCAAGGAGTGTGGCATGTATATAATGGATAGTAAATAGTGTGATAATGACTCTATTTGTACGGAGCTCTGTGTCTGTTGTAAATTTTCCACTTCAATTGTTTGTGTTAAGGGTTCTGGAAGTTCTGTAAATGAAGTTTCATCAACATCCTTCAAGGTTGAGGTGTGATCTGATGTCGTTCCAGTTATAAGCTTAAAATAAAAAAATTCCAGCAGAAATCAATAAAACTAAAATGAATTTATATCATCGGATTGCCGAAGAAAATCTGGTTGTGCACGTGATCACCACGAACAGTCATATGAATACGAATAAATACATTGAAGGATTGAACAGGACAAAATATTCAAAAGTAATTTTATCAGTTTTAAATACATCTTCTTGAAAGCTGCACCAAAGAGACGCACAGTGCTGACTTTAGGCATTTCAGCCTTAAAATTAATCAATTCTAAACTCACATGTGTATGCGTAAAATAAATGGAACTAAACAGGCTGCTAACGTTGCAAAAAAAAATGTTTGCTTTATTCGTTATATCATGTACGTATTTATATACCTGCATTTTTTATGTAATTCGTATTTCTTGATTCCTGTGCTTCCTCTGACATCTCTCCAATTGGTTGGCACTGATGTATTTGAGGGGTTTATCCCTTTTTAGCAACTTAAAATATTTAACCACACACACAATCTTTTGATAAAGTGATGTAAAGAATGACTTGCATTACACCGTAATCATAAAAAGTTGTATATTTTTGAAAACGTTATTGAATTTCTGATGTATCTGCATAAACCTTATTTAAAATTTAAAATTTTTTTTAATTCCCTTTTTTATTTTACGAAACCGCTAGTCACATCCCTATTAGAATTGCCATCTGGTTATTTTTTTATTTCTGTAAAATAATCCTCTACTTCCTGTTTAGTGGGAGGATAATAATCTTATCATTTCTGAAGAATAACTGCTTGCCGATTTAACTTGTGATCTCACATATCTAATGGATGAAATATATGGATCTGAAGATCTCGTTTCCTGCGCTTCCTCTGACATCTCTCCAATTGGTAGGCTCTGATGTTCAATTAAAATTTGACCATGTGCCTGAATTTTATGAAGCGTAAGAGTTAGCTTCTTTTCAGGATATTTTTCCAGTAACAGCTCTGCAGTCTTCGAGGCATATTCACCAAACTATCGGGTATTTATTTGTTCTTTGCAGTTTAAAATATTTAAAATGACACCTAAGCTTTTGATGTCATTATCCACCCCATTTATTTCTCCCCCTCTCGGAATGGTATATGATAGTTTTAAAATTAACTCCATACATCTAATTCTTGCATGCAAAACCTGGTCGAAAAGACAGGTAAAGGTAGAAATACTAGCCTGCATATTCATTCATAACCAACAACATAATAGAGCTAGCGCGAAATGGAAAATTATTCTAATTTCATTAGTACCTAACTTTTCGCCAGTTTTTTAACTTTGACTGGATTTTACAAAAATATATCCCAAAATTTCCACGAGATTTTTTTCGTTTGCGCTTCGGAGCCGTTTGTCTTCTCTACCGATTTATCTGTCACAACCTCGTACGAAAAACGGTCAAAATATGATTTTGTATGGCATTTAAGAGGTGTGATAGCCGTTTTTACCGTTATTCGTGCGAGGTTGTAACAGGTAAAAACGGCCAAAAAAAATCTCCGACTTTTGCCACCTCTTTTCGTCGAAATCGCGACTGTGTGCCTTCTGCCAGAGGAGAGGCAAACTGACTATTTATCGGGTATATCGGGTATGTACATGTAGAGTTGCGGTCGCAGCAGCAACTCACTACGTTCCGCCTCGTTTGATATATATATATATTAGGCTTTGTATGGCGAAAAAAATGTGTCGGAATCAAGGGTATCAGGGTCTAAAAATGTTCTGTTTGAGATGCCAATCTTTTTTGGGACCTATTTTTTTCAAAAATAAAAATGGTGAATTTGGTTTAAACTTTATAGTGCGTATTTAAGTTTCGTGGCTTAGCGGAAGCCGATTGCTTGCTATGGCCAGATAAATTTATTGAGAGGCATAGAATTGCAAAAAACGACGGCAGCAGATCAAGTGATTGAGAAAGTGGCGGCGGCAGAGAGCCCATTTAGCGGGAGAGCACTGGAGCTCTGCAGAACGGCTACGGTTGCAAAACCTGCTCATACAATAACTATAACAATACCAATGGTTAAATAGGCCCGAACATACTCCCCCCGTTGGGAGCTAATCTCTCAACAGAGATCCTTAGATCAGCGACGCGACACACTCCGTATTTACCGTCCTTACTCCGTCCATACCAAACGCATTGGAGGTAGGTTCTCGTCTCGTCATTGCAAAAGAGTGAGATACTCTTCGCGCCAACGCCTCCAAAATATTTGTTGTAGTTGGGTGACCCGCTGCCAGCCAGCAGCATTCATGGACCTCCTTCATATGCGGTTCGCTCAGACAAAGATTCTTAATCTCCAAAAGCTCGTTCTTGGCCCTAACGAAATTTGTCGCATTTTCCGACCAAATTTTACTTGGCCTTCCTCGAGTGGTAGTAAAATGCTTTAGAACGCCTAGAAACGATGCGGTGGTCAAATCCATGTGTATAGTCTTAGAGGTGAAGCAGATGAATACGCTAATGTAGCAATTGATCGGAGGCCTCGTGCGGATTTCTGATCGGTAGATTCCAGTGACTTCAAAAGCTCGAGATCCTTCCAAACGTTTCTTAGCTAGGTCTCCCATGATGTGTTCAACCATGCGCGGCCTAGTCCTGAAGCAACTCACACACTTGCTGACGACCCTTGACACTGCTTTAATACTTTCATTGGGCCAATATTCCAGCCGATAGCTTTTGGATAGCTTGGCGCGAGGTCCGGCAAGGAGATACATGAAAAACGTTGTTTTGCCATGTATATTATTTCTAGGAAACATTTTTTCAGTTTTACTTATCAATTATAAGATTACTTAACAATAAAGATTAAACTCTCAGTGCAGTATATTGTACAATGTTCTTGGTTAGTCCGCCTTTACCCAACACAAACAAACTGGATGGTTTTGCCACGCGAGTACGTGCCAAATGTCCGTGGGAAAAGCATGGTGTTTCCACCATTCCACGAAATTTTGAGATATACGTTTTATAGTGAGATCTAACAGGAGTGTGGATACCAAATTTGGTTGCTCTGGCTCTTATAGGTTCTGAGATCCTTGAACTCACATTTTGCAATTGGCAAAACCGACCATGAAACCTGTGAGTTAGAGAGAAACAGAGCGAGAAAGAATGAAATTGTTTTCTTGATTCTGGCTATAATAATTATACGATCTGATTTTACAGTCTAGAACATATAGTCATCCTCTACAATTCTGCGTTTTCAGTTTCAGTTGAAATCGTGGATGCCACAGATTTTCGCCTATTGTGGTGGCGGTAGTGGGCGGGGCAAAGTTTTGAAATATTCTCGTAACAGTGACATATCGCAGAAGTATGGATCCAAAACATCGTTGCTCTAGCTCTTATTCTTTGAGCACTAGGCGCTAATAGGGACGGACGGACAGACGGACGGACGGACGGACAGACGGACGGACAGACAGACAGGGCACAATCGACTCGGCTATTGATGCTGATCAAGAATATATATACTTTTGAGCATCGGGTATAAAAAGGTTAACTTAATTATTTCAGCTTGGTCAATGCAAAACCAATAAAAACGGGGTATATGGTAATGTGAAAAGTCGCTCAATGGCATATGCAATCGGTATAGAAGGTCTCGTTACTGATTGAAGACCAACGACGGGTTACGAGAAGGATACCTATGTTGGCTCCCACGCAGAAAGATCTTTCGTCGTGTAGATGGATGATGCGGTGAGTGGATGAATTGGATGACTATCTGCTTAGATGACAAGATGAATGCGTGGCAACCAAAATAAAGACTGTAACAATAATTAACATTAATAGACTAGTCATTTGATTACGGTTTGACATGGACCATGGAATGGCATTCCCTTTTTGTTTTATACCGAATTTACTTGGTTTTCGGACATTTTCGCTGTATCCAAACAAGCTTTTAAAAAAAAAAAACAGTGTTTCGCATATCGGGTCTAACTTTGAAAGGTAATAGCACATAAAACTGCTGGATCGATGCCTCCCGGCTGGAGTAGGAGTTCGTACTCGATTTCTGCAGGTGTCAAGATTGTCCCTGGCGCATGTAACATCAGCTGCTGGCGAGGCCAGTGGGAGTCAATGATCGCGGTCCATCTACTGCGGGAGATTAGGTAAGCTATTGGTATTAGGTAAAATAGCTATTGATGAGTGTTCGGTCAAACTCTTTTCGCAAAACAAACTACTCGAATGACCATCGTAAAATAGATAGCCCACGCTCACTTTATATAATTACTCTCTCAATCATTGTAACAAATTCACCACAGTAGATCTCTGTAATAAATAGTTATTGCCTAACGCTCAAACGCATCCATTGACTTTTCTTGCACGGCTAACGCATATAAAAACTATCACAGCCCCATCCGTGAATAGACATTAATGCGGAAAACGCTCTGTGTGCTCTGGAGCACCTTAAAACGAAACGTTTTGGTTGAAAATGTAAAACGAAAAAATAAGTGAAAGCCGGAGCCTGTATATGTATATATATATATATATTACATATATATATATATATATATATATATATAGTGACATATCCATAATTCCCCACATCCCATACACATTATGTTTATGTACAATTCATCCACCCCATCCACACAAGTAACAGGACCCCACTCAAGAATCAATAACTGTTTCTTCCCATACTCCAAGCTAGGGCCCCCCATAATATAAACAATGGACCACATTGTTTCAGCAACATTAGAATCACGCCACTCTCGAGAAATCGATTCTTTAGAATCACGCCACTCATGAGGACCAATCAAAGCTAGACATAAAACCAAGGAGTATCACATTCCTAGCTCCGTCATGTAATGCAACACCGATCGCCAGCAGTGGATGCCTTTCATCAAAGCCGACGCATCCCCAAATATCGATCCAGGCACGTACGCCACCGACACGAAGATGCAGCCGAGGAAAGCAACGCCCGAAGCCA